CGCCCCCCCCCCCCCCCGTCCTCTCCCCAGGGCCAGATAGTGCAAAAAGAGAGCAGGTGCTGGACATGTTCAGGACCGGCATTCTTACTGCTCTGCGGTTTTGGGTCCCTTCGATGCACTTCCCCCCTTCCCCACGTTGACATGCTTGACATCTGCAATAAAAACAGAGTCAGCACTCTGCATAGCCCCCCTTTATTTTAGGTCAACCCCCCTCCCTGCATACATCTGCTTGGAAGTGTTAAGATCCTGTTGAAAAACCTCACACCCGTGTGGTCCTCCCGAAGGACACACGCGGCTGGCCAAAGCTCCTCCCGAGAGGCGATTCTGCGCAGTCCTGTGAAGGAGCGGATTGGGCACATCACCAAACTGCGCGGAAAGAGACCCTGGGATGGGGGCTGCTCGGCAGAGATGCTGGTGCCTCAGGGGAGCCCCTAATTGGACCCCAACACCCAGCTGTGGGCACCCACTCACAGGGAAGCCTCTGCCCAGCTCTTCCATGGTGCAGGCACCCCTGAGATGCCACAGAACCTGCCAGGATGGTGCCAGACCCCCGTGCCGAGCGTCGTCCGGGGGAGCCAGGCTGGGGAAAGGCCTGGCTGGCCAGCTGCTCCCCCACCTGCGGCTGCTCCCGGGCCCTACAGGGGAAGTGTTTCTGCTCCAGGCCCTCCACAGGGTCCTGCAGTCCAGCTGAGCAGCATAAATGCAGACAGGACAAAGCAAGTTTTGCTGCACTTTTACAGATAAATTCTGCTGTTTCCCTACTCTAGAAAAACTTGCTGAAATGCTCTTCAGACGCAGAGGGAAATGGCAGGGCACATCACCCTGCACAGCCGTGGTTTTCCACCTTTCCACAGCTGGGGACTGGTGAAAACAGGAAAGCCGCCTCAGGGACCACCGAGGCAGAAACGAAAAGCACCGTACACATAATACCGTATGCTGTGTATCTGTTTCCAAACACAATACCGAAGAAATGAACATTCTTCAAAACAACCAACAACCAAGCACCAGAAAATGCCAACAAAAGAACAAAATACCGACATTGGTGCAGCGTGACTCTCAGCCAGCTCCACTGAACCGTCTCTCCCCTCCGTGCCCCCCCCCCCGCAGTGGCCCTGGCGCCCTCCCTGCGAACACAATGCCACTGAGGGAGGGGGGGGGGAGCACCGCCCGGCCCCTGAACTGGCTTGTAGCAAGCAGGATGCAGCCCCCCCCTCCCCATGGACTGGCAGGACACCTCCCGCACAGCAGCCTCTGCACGAGGTTTTGGTCAGCTAGAGTCACAGCGACGTCCTTGGGCTTCTTGGGGTCCCGGGGCGAGTGGGGATCAAAGCAGCTGCCACTCCAGGCCTTATTCCACTGAGCTGGTCTAAGTGAAGGAAAAGCCAGTGCCCTTCACAGCCGCTTGGGGGGCATGTCTGCACACGGCCAGCACCCCTCTCCACGGAGGCCGCCGCACGCCCTCTGCCACGGTGGCCAAGCCCTGCATCGCGAGTCTTCAACGCAGAGCCGGGGCTGAGCTCCATCAGGGCTCGTCTATAGGATAGGGATAGTTCGTATCCATACCACCCAATTTCCAAATCCATTTACAGCGATTCATAAAATGCAATGGAACATACAGGTAACGATAAAAACCACATAAAATTGCACTAAAAATCTAAAAGCCAGATTTAAACGGCTTCAAACAGCGAGCCCAGCTGAGCAGCTGCCAGTTGCGCATCCTGCGGCCATCGCGCCTGGCCGTCCCGCTCCGCCCAGCTGGCGTTCCCCGGCACGGAGCGCTCCTCCCGGCTCCGCGGTGCCCGCTGCGGCTTTTAAAGCCCTCCGAGGCCGTGGCCGAGGTCTCCGTCATCGCGCCGTGTGGTGCTGAATTGCCGCAAGTTAACGACGCGCCGTGTGACAAAGTACTTCCGATTGTCAGCCTCCAACGAGCGCGAACGCTGCGAGGCGGCCACGGAAGGAGCGGCTGGGGGCGAGGAGAGACGTAAAGGGATCCCGGCCTCTCCCTGAATGGAAAAGCAGAAAAGCAGATTGCCGGGAGGAAATCGCAGCACCTGCTCCCTCGCCCATGCTTGGCCGATAAAACGGTGTGAACACGGCCGCGGGCGAGCAGGGGGCCTGCAGGCGCTCGCACGGCGGCTCCACCGTTTGCTTCCGCACAGGTTTTGGCAAAGGAACCCCGTCTTGCTTTTCAAACGCGCCCTCGTAAAGAGGCCAGGGCCTGTCGCAGCCCCCTTTTCTGTGCTCAATTCAGGAAGCTTGCTTTGCTTCTGCGGCTCCTGCCCTGCCCTGCCCTGGCAGTTCTGCAGGGCACAGCTTGACAGTGGTGCTGGGCCAGCCGGGCCAGCGGGGTGGACTGTCCCTCCGTCCTCCCTGCAGCAGCCTCTCCAGCCGGGATGCCGAGGGGGTGCTGGGGAGGGCCCTGTGCACCAGACAAGCC